GGAGGGGGCGGCAGAGAAGGGGGGGGCTGGAGGGAGTCACGGCCTGCGCTTCAATGGGGGACGGGAGAGGGGGGGAAGGCCTGGGGGAATGGGGTCCACGATGGGTCGGACACAACTTCGCAACTAACAACAACAACAGCAACAAGTTAATAACACGCTTGTTAAGGGGAACCTGACTTCTCCGTTGACTTGATCGGAAGGTTGCAAAAGGAGGACCAGGTGACACCATGCCACTGTGGCTGTCATAAATGTGAGTCAGTTGCCAAGCATCAAGATTTTGATCACATGATCCTGGGGATACTGCAACGGTTGAAAAACAGCCGTAAGTCACCTTTTCCAGTGCCGTTGTAACGCCAGTGGCCACTGACTGGACGGTTGTAAGTGGAGGACTGCCTGTAGACAAAGCCACCCAGGGGGCGCAAATGGAGACTCTCCTCTGTCCCACAGGAGCATCCTGGACTCGGACACCTACAGCCCCGTCTCGGTGGCAGACCAGGAAGAATATGAGAAGCTGGTGGGGCAGTTTCCCTTCCACGATGCGGAGCTGGAGAAGGTGAAGCCCGGAGGGTCTCCTGGTGGCCTCCCCTCCCCCTGCAGAGCGCTTCTCCAGAGCTGGAGGCCGAGGAGATTCCTCCCCTGCAGAGTCACTTGGGGCTGGACCTGGGAGGGGGGGGGGTTGCATGACCTCTGGCGGTGCTTCCTGCCTCAAAAGAGGACAGCTTGGGGGTGAGAGGGGGGACCCCGAGGGGGGGGGGAATGTCTCTTTTGGAGGGGCGGAGGAGCACAAAGGTTTGCAATCATGAGAGCTCTGAAGGCTGGAGGTGGGTGGCGATTCTCGGTCATCCTGGTAGGGTGGAATCTGCGTCAACCGGACCCCTTTTCTGGGGGGGGGGGATGGCTGCTCAGACTGTGAGGGCGCCTATCCTGCTGACCCCCCTCCCCTCCATTTTGCAGCAGCCATTCCCCAGGAAGTTCCCCTTCTCCGAGCTGGTGCCTCAGATCTACAACCAGATCAAGGAATTTATCTACGCCTGCCTGAAGTTCTCGGAAGACCTTCACCTGAGGTGAGGGGAGGGGGTGGTGGATCAGAAAGCCCCTGGGCCTTTCCCCTGGGCCTTTCCCCAAGGGCTGCTCCCCCCCCCAAGCCCCCCAGGAGATCTCCAGGGCTCTTCCAAAGCTCTCCTGCTCTCCTTGGGGGAGGGGCTCTTGGGAGGGTGGGGTGGGGACGGTTTGTCTTTGTCACTGAGCATCCAGGCAGATACAAGGGGATTCGCTCTTCCTGGGGGTCTCTGGAGTGGGTGGAGGTCAGCCTTCCTCAATTTAGGGGGAAAAATAAGCCTCCGAGTGAACCGTCCCAGCTGAAGAAATGGAGCGAGGGAGCAGAGGCTGCCAGCTCTTCAAGGGCAGTTGTCCTTCGTGGGGGCCTCCACATCTGCATCAGAGCTTTGGGGGGGGGTCACTCCTTAAAAGAAGCCTGACAGTGTGGTGCCCGAAAGCATCCCGGGACCCTTCCCCAGCGGAGCCAATGGGAGCCCCCAGTTAAACAAAACGGATTGGGGAATCATTCAGAATTGGGGCAACAGTTTTGGGGCTGCAGCAACGGCAGACTGGTAGCCTCTTCCTCCTGGGGGGGGGAGTGGAGGTTTTTGGGCACCCCGTGAAGAGGTTGCATGCCCCCCAGCCCCCCTTCCTTGAGCCTTCACTCCCAGAGGCTGCCTGGACAAACGTGGCGCTCTCATCGGCCACGTTTGGGGAAAATGTCTGCTGCCACCCACAGATCTGAGTCAGACGTGGCTGGAGAGCCTGGCAGGGTCCCCTTTCCAGGGCAGAGCTGAGGGTGGAGCCCAGTGGTGGGTTCCGGATCCCTTTGCAACCGGTATGGTTGCAACGGGGCCCGATGTCCTCCACATGAATGCCTTTTACCGTCCAGCGACGCCTCCACAAGCCTCCGCAACACTCCTGCTGGGCAGAGCCTCTCACGGGCACTGTATGCGGCGTGTGCGGAAGCGCCGAAGAGTCTGCCCACCACATGGCTTTATTTTTTCTTTCATTAATACACGAAAACGGTTTCCAGCCTTCCTCTTACGGACAAACTTTTCCTGGTAAAATGGCCNTTTTTTTTTTGCTGAAATAATAATAATTGAAGCTTTTAAGGCAGCCCAGAGGTGGAGATGGCAGAGGCTTATATTTGAAAGTTTCCCCCCCCTCATAAATTCAGATCAGTGATGGGTTCTGAGACAGACAGGGTGGGAAAAGTCCCACCGGAGGGAAGGGGGTTTCTTAAAAAGGCAGCATTCAGACATAATTGTGGACAACAGTAACAAGACGATGCCCCTGTGGGAAGCAACAAAAAGGGGGAAAATTCTTCTTTTATTGATGACTATTCCTCAAGCAGGCCTTAAATAATATTTTAGGGCAAACACTTCCTCTTTGGCTCATGTATTCTATTAAGGAGCTCTGAGCAGAGACGGGGGTTGTGTTACTGCTGTTGGCCTTGCAAAACTTCCAGGCTGTGTCAACCCCTTGGTAGCTACTCAGAGGTGGCCTCAGGTGGGAGAGACCCCCTGGTTCAGAGGCAGGGGCTTCACCTTGCGGGGAGGGTCAGAGGGGGCAAGGGGGGGAACAGTTTCCCCTTTCTCACCTGCTCTTTGGGCCCTGCCTCTGCCGCTGGCTAGAAAGGGTGGGCTTCCCACTTTGACCCCTCCCAGTTTGTTCCAAGGAAGCTGCTTCACAGCCCTTCTTCTCCCTCTCCTCCATCAGGGCATCTAGGGGGGAGATTCTGCATCAGCTCCCGAGAGGGGTTTATTTTTCCCCTGGAAGAAGAATAGGAGGTGAAGAAGACAGATGTGCAGGGAGGGAGGGAGGGAGGGAGGGAGGAGGTCACCAGACAGCTGGATGCCTAGCAAAAGAGTCAGCAAAGCCGACCTCTGGATGAGGTTGGAGCCACGGGAAAGAAATACAGGTTGACAGATTGAAAATATAAATATTCCGGAGAGCGTCTTTCTAATCACTTTAAAGCGTACTGTGAAAATGCTTCAAATGCACCAGAAGTCAGCTGTCAGCGGGGCTTAGCAGCCTCTGGAGGAAGGAGGGTCAAGAGGGGATTGCAGAAAAGCCCTGTCGGATTTGGGGTCTCCGCTGCAGGCCCCGAGGTGGCGTTTTCAGGAAAGGGCCTTGCGTGGAGGCGAAGTTAACGGGTGGGAAACACGAACTTCTTGGGTCCTGATAAATTAAAAGGAAATGCAGTGGATGGCTTCCTCCAGGCAACTCCGGGCATTATAATACGTTCTGAAAAAATTCCGTTGGGAAATGGTCCTTTATGGCAAAAACACACCACGGGCTTCATTTCCGAGGGTTTCCCCATGGAGTCCGTGTTGAGCTCCAAGGATGGCACCCCACAGCCTGCAGGCCCACCCAGGGGAGCCCCTTCGGTGGGGCGGAAGACCCGGCTGATTCCTCAGAAGCTGAGCCGGATTTATTCTTGGCGGAGTGGAAGGAGGAGGCGCCATGGCCAACTTGCCACGGGACAATTCAAGGCGGGATAACTCACAAGAGGGACCAGTAGAACTGACCCCCCCCCGGAAAAAACCCCACCCCCCCAGGACTTCTAACTGGAGAAGGTCCAGACTGGTCCCTCTCTTGTGTTGTCCCCTGGTGAGTCGGCCAGGGCGAGTTGTCTTAGAGGGGGGGTCTCCAACCTTGCCAACTTTAAAGCTTCTGGACTTCAACTCCCAGAATTCCGCTTAGCCTTAGAGCTGCCGAGGCTGGAGACCCTATTCTTGGGTGGGTGGGTGGGGGCAAAGGGCGGCCCTTGGTCCCTGGGGGAAGCTTGACCCTTTCTCTCCTTGGCAGGGAGCCCGAGAGGCCTTCGAGAGCTACTACCGGAAGCAGAGGAGGAAGCAGGCCCGGCTGGTTCTGCAGCCCCCCTCCAACATGGTAAGGCCCCAAGAGTTTGGGGGACAAGTGGGGGGGGGTCTCCCATGGGCTGGATCTCTTGGGTTCAAACCCCCCCCCCCCAGGTGTTTTAATCTTCTTGCCTTCCTCCCCTCCCTCTAGCACGAAACCCTCTCCGGCTACCGGAAGTATTTTAATCAGATTGTAGGGTAGGTATTCTTCTGTCCCCTTCTGCTCCCACGGGGGCTCAGGCCTGTGCGGCACGGGCGGTCCTCGACTTATAGCCCTTCGCTTAATGACTCTTCCCAGGAACAACGACACTGACAAAAAGCGATGACCATTTTTCACACTTACGACCGTTTTAGCCTTCTTGGCCTCCTCTCGGTCTGCCCTTCCTCCCCCCCCCCCCTTCTCCCCCCCCCCAACCCCCCCCCCCCCCCCCCCCCCCCCCCCCC